TCATCCAAGTCATTAATAAATATATTGATCCAACCCTCTGCCATGTAGGAAGATACAACTAAAGCATTCCTGAAAGATGCCCATCCAACCTTTATTTAAGTACCTCCAAAGGTGCAGACTCAGCCACCTGCTGAGATAGTCCATTCCTGGAGTGTATGTGTGTCTGGCATGATTTAGTCAGAGGAGGGTTGCTGCCACACTGCAGAATTAATGCAGTTTGATGCCACTTTAACTGTCATGGCTCCATTCTATGGAATCCTGGTATTTGTAGTTTGTTGTGCCACCAGAGCACTCTGACAGGGCGGGCTAAATATCTCACAAAACTACAATTCCCTAAATTCCATAGTATTGAGTCATGGCAGTTAAAATGGTGTCAGACTACATACATTTTGCAGTGTAGATGCATCTAAGGAGTCAGTGTGGCAAAGTGGTTTGAGCATTGGACTACAACTCTGGAGACTGGGTTCAATTCCCAGCTTGGCCATGAAGCCCACTGGGTGACCATGGGCACGTCACATGCTCTCAGCCTCAGAGGAAGGCAATGGCAAACCTTCCCTAAACAAATCTTACCAAGAAAACCACATGATAGGGTTGCCATAAGTAGGAAACGACTTGAAGGCACACAACAACAAGATGCACCAAAGTTTTGCCATGGTTTCCTTTAAGACTGAGAACATATAACTTGCCCAAGGGGCTTCCATGGCTGAGTGGGGATTCAAACTGTGGTTTTCAAGAGTCCTAATCCAACATTCAGACCATCACACCATGCTGGCAATGGTATTCACTCCCTATCCATTTAGGAAAAGAGGTATTTTTGGTAGGGTCCATGCCAGGTTGGACTGGGAACGAATCCTACCTGAAACCACAGACAGGCATTGCCAACCAATTTAAACAATACTGGGCTGGACAGATCAGAGGTTTGACCCAATATAAAATGATTTCCTATATTCTGAGATTTCTGGACCACACTCTGAACCATGCTCACTCCTTCCATTGCAAAGATTTACAATGAACCTCCCAAGGGAAGATGCAGGACAAGCTGCCATGACAACCATAAACAAAGCAGATCAATAAAGCCAAAGAGGACCAGTCAGGATCTGAGATGTTCTGCAGTTAGACTGTGGCAAGAAACAATTACCCATCTGTTTCCACACAGAGGGTTTAACAGGCAGTAAAAAATGCAACCCACCATTGTGTCATCAACATTCACATTACGGGACTGTGCAAACAGGGTTGTGATAACATTCTTGGCTTAGCCATGTAAATGTCCTTGGAACAACCTCCTTTCATCCAATCAGGTCTTTTTTTTTTTTAAATCATTCTAATCTGCCCTTTCAAATCTGTTTTGATTTAATTGCTCTGCTGTTTTAAATTGGTTTTACAATTGCTTCTGTCTTGCAACTCATTAAAATCTATGGAGTTATTGTTATTATTTTTTCTCATTTTTAAAAGTCACTCTGAGAAGGGAAAGAAAGAAAGAAAGTGGGAAATACATCTCTTAAAGAAGTAGCAACTCTGTCAAAGTTGCAGGAACATCTGGCTGGAGAATTAGTCTCCAGTACCTCTGGCTTGCCAGATGTGGACAACTCAGGTTGCATCTGCACTACAGAATTAACACAGTTGGACACCACTTTAACTGCTGTGGTTCAATGCTATGGAATTCTGGGGTTTGTAGTTTTGTGAGATATTTAGCCTTCTCTGTCAAAGAGCTCTGGTGCCAGAACAAACTACAAATCCCAGAATCTCATAGGATGAAGTCATGACAGTTGAATGAGTGTCAAACTGCATTAATTCTGCAGTGTGGCAGCAGCCTAGATCCCCCCTCATCCCTATTAGGTAAGGATAAACCCAATTAATCCTCTATCATCCACCCTTTTCAACAGCTTTTAAGATGTCCCAATTTCTCTTGCTGCCTCCCACTTTCTCCCTTTCTCCTCAGCTTACTTCCATTGCTGCAAAGTGAGTCCAAAGTGCAAAAGTAATTTGCACCCAACTAAAAAGGAAAGTGGAGGTGGAGAAGAGAGAGGAAAGCCTCTCTTCTCCACCTCCACTTCCCACAAAAATCAAACTGTTGAGGCCTCTGCAAGCTTGTCTTTTCTTTCTCATGAATAATTTTTGTGTTTTTGAGTGAATTTATGTTTTTTTTAAGCCATGTGTCCTTGTTTCCACCTGTGAAATGGTGAGGGATACGTGGGTCTGGGGACCACCCTTCTGCTCCTGCAACTCTAGGGATGAAAAGAGACCATCAGAAATGCCAATAAAATAAAATAAAATAAAATAAAATAAAATAAAATAAAATAAATGGAAGTGGCCAGAGGTCCACTTATATACTTTTTTAAATTTGATTTTTAAAATATTAAACAGTCCAGAGCAGACTGCAGCCTAATTGCAGCTCCTAGAAGCTTTGAGGTGAGACAATTCACTTTTCCTTGGGAAAAGTCGCCGTTGGTTGAGATCGACGTGAACGCAGTTAACAAGCAACAAACCAAAATGTTTCCATGCAGAAAGTTCTGCAAGTTCAGCCTCTACCAGACAGAATTGGAAAAGAACCTTGCCCAAAGCCCCAGAGAAATGTGCCTAGTCTTCCTTGTCAATAATAACTTTTGCTATCTTGACCACAATTTGATGTTACGTGGCAACATGTGTCTCCTTTTCGACCATGAAAAGCTCAAGGGCATGCAATGTCAATTGTCTCTGATCCAGACCAATCTGGCTGAGGTTTCAGGGAACCAAAGGCCAAAACATTTGGAGCATCAAGTGTCCCCATCCCTAATTAGGTAGAAAATGCCAAGTTCTAACACTGAGGATGGGAAGTCTATTTAGGATGGAGGATAGGACTTAACACTATCCCATCCTATTCCATCTTCACTTTCCCCCTTACTCATCCTACTGCATTTGTGTTGTGTGCCTTCAAGTCGTTTCCAACTTATGGTGACCCTAAGGCAAACTTATCATGAAGTTTTCAGATCACCCAAGATCACCGTCCTAGTGGGTTTCATGGCTGAGCTGGGATCCGAACCCTGGTCTCCAGAGTAGTAATCCAACACGCAGACCACTACATTACACTGGTTCTACTTGTCCTACTATCCTGCCATTTATTTATTTATTCATTCATCCATTTAGGCCTATGTCAGACTCTGGTTTCTCCTATTGGTAGAAACCTCTTGATTGGTCTGGTCTGACCAGAGCAGAGCTTGGAAAAGTGACTCCAATGCTCAGAATCCACTCATAAGGCAGATTCTTTGGCTGTTCTCAGGAAGACTTTCAGTGGTAGAACAAGTGCCTTGACAGGGCCAAGAACAGACCCATATATTTGCTACAGAAGCAGCAGCAAATGCTGTAGGTTCCATCCTACAGAATCTTGGGATCTGCAGTTTTGTGAAGCACCAGCATGCTTTGGCAGAGAAGGCTAAAGACTTTGTAAAACTACAAATCCCAAGATTCCATAGGATGCAGAGACAGCACTTAAAGTGATGTCAAACAGCATTATTTCTATAGTGTAGAAGCACCAAGAGAAAGAGAGAGGATGGCAGAAAGAGAGATGAAGGATAATGGTGTGGCTGAGAAGATGAAAGAGATGGCAGAAAGAGAGAAGGAAAGGTCCCACATAATTTTGGCTATGGGTCTACCTCCGATTAGCCTTGTGTCTATTCACCTCCAACATTCAACCCAGCCCCTTTCCTTCCTGACATTGTTGCTATCCTCTATCCTTGAACAATATCAGTTAAATCCCCTTTCTCCCAACTAAATGCAATGAAGCTAAGGCTAAAAGCAAGAGCATCTCGGGTATGCACCGGTTGTTGTGCTGTATCCTGAAAGGACCCCGAAATACCAAGCATTCATAGGATCCAACAAAGTCTGAAGCCAAGCACATGAGCTGTTAAAAGCTGGGATCCAAGACAAATGCAGCTCTGGCCAAAAATGATGGAGCAGGTGATACTGCTTGCACAGTTCAAGCCAAAAAACAAATAAAGCTGGCTTGAAGAGCATCCAGCAGACTCTTACTGAACCTACCCTATGTCTGCAAGCCAAGCTAGTGAGACCATCCTTAGCGGAGTGAGTCTTGCCAAGTTTGTGGATCAAGCAGCACACCAGACAAATTTAATCAGTATCTCCTTTTCTACAGTTTAAGTAAGATGCTGCATAAAATACAAGAGTGTAGAAGCAGTTTAAGAACAGCAAAGCTTCTTAATTAATGGTCGGTGGATCCCTGCATGGGCAGTTGGAATAGGGAGGCATTGACCCCATGGTCTGGAAACCATGCCCTATGAGGAGCAGAGTAGGGAGCTAGGTATGTTTAGCCTAGTGAAGAAGTGGCATGATAGCCACATCTAAATATTTGAAGGGATGTCATATTGAGGATGGAGCAACCTTGCTTTCTGCTCTCCAGAGACAAGATAGAACATGGAGCTATGCATTGAAACTACTGAATAAGAGATTCCATCTAAACATTACGAAGAACTTCCTGACAGTAAGAGTTGTTTGACAGTGGAACACACTGTCTCACAGAATCAGAATCCTAGAGTTGGAAGAGACCAAAAGGCCCACCCTGTCCAACCCCCCTGCCATGCAGGAACTCTCAATCAAAGCATCCCTAACAGATAGTCATCCAGCCTCTGTTTAAAGACCTCCAAAGAAGGAGACTCCACCACTCTTCAAAGGAGTGTGTTCCACTGTCGAACAGCTCTCACTGTCAGGAAGTTCCTCCTAATATTGAGGTGGAAGCTCTTTTCCTGTAGTTTGCATCCATTGTTCTGGGTCCTATTCTCTGGAGCAGCAGAAAACAAGCTTGCTCCCTCCTCAATATGACATCCCTTCAAATATTTAAACAGGGCTATCATATCCCCTCTTAACCGTCTCTTCTCCAGGCTAAACATACCCAGTACCCTAAGTGGTTTCCAGACCCTTCACCATTTTAGTTGCCTTCCTTTGGATACGCTCCAGTTTCTCAACATCCTTTTTGAATTGTGGTGCCCAGAACTGGACACAGGATTCCAGGTGAGGTCTGACCAAAGCAGAATACAGTGGTACTATGACTTCTCATTGGAGGTTTTTCAACAGAAGCTGGATGGCCATCTGTCGGGAGTGCTTCAATTGTGTATTCCTGCTTGGCAGGGAGATGGACTGGATAGCCATTGGGGTCTCTTCCAACCATATGATTCTGTGACCCCAGGATTTGCTTTCCTCCCTACTTCTTCTCATAAACATTAGAATTTTCTGATGGTAAGCTTTTGACCGTGGAATATGCTCTGCTGGAGAGTGGTGGACTCTCCTTTGTTGAAGGTTTTTAAACAGATGCTGGCTAACCATGTTTGGATTTGATTTGAAGGGATTTATTGCATAAATTGTGGGACTTATTGCATAAGAAAAGAAAATTGAAATGGAGCTGGAGAGTAGCAGCTTTCTCCATGCCTCTCCGCAGGCCATTGTAGCACTTCTGTTCTCTTCCCAAGGAAGACAGTCTTAAAAACGTGCCTTCTGTTA